GTGAGACTAAAAGTCCTCAAAATAAAACCCACCAAAAAAAAAAAAAAAAAAAAAAAAAAAGGTACAATACCATGTTAAAAGATACATACAGGGGGGACCAGCAGTTGGCGTAATGGCTATGTTTCTGGACTCCCACGCAGTCGACTGCGCTTCGTGTCCCAGAGTCGACTTAAAACTCATGCTGGGTGCGTGTGTGTGCGCGCGTGCCCAAGATCCCGAGAGGAGAATGGAGGAGAAGGGATTGCGGCGTGGCCATCCCCCCTGGGGGGTGATTTCTCGCTTTCTGTCTCTATGTCTCTCTCTGTCTGTCTGGTGAGCGCATGTGCCCTATAGTGAAAACCTCTCCAAAAAAAAAAAAAAGTTACCAGATACAGGGAACAGCGGTTAGTGTAATGGCTATGTTGTTGAACTCCCATGTAGCTGACAGCGGTTCAAGTCCCAGACCAGTTGGCTTAAACTCATGCCGGGTGCGTGTGCGTGCGTGCCCAAGATCCCGAGAGGAGAATGGAGGAGAAGGGATTGTGGCATGGCCATCCCCCCTGGGGGGTGATTTCTCACTTTCTATCTCTCTATCTCTCTCTGGCGAGTGCATGCTCCCTGTAGCAAAAACCTCTCTAAAAAAAAGATACATACACATATACTTAGGATGAATGTGTGTATATACATATGTATGCATTTATAAAGGACATATCTGGACACATAGATTATTATAAATGGCTTTTTCTGGGGAATCAAGATGATTATTTTTGGTAGTTGAAACAATTCTGAATCACACACCCCTCCCCCCCATTAAGTATTATAAGAGATTCTTCCCTGGGAAAGATACAGAGTATAGAGTTACAGGAAATCTTTATTGTTCAAACTGTCCTGGAATAAAAGACGGCTTACTCTGCTAAGAGGTCAGCTGAACCATGATACCTAAACGTGAAAAAATGAACATTTACCCACAATACGGATTAGCTTCTATAGATGTAACACTTCTGAATACAGTTGAAAAATTGACTATCATGGGACCAGCAGTTAGCGTAATGGCTATGTCGCTGGACTCTCATGTAGTCGACCGCAGTTTGAGTCTCAGACCCAGTGACTTAAACTCATGCCGGGCGCGTGTGCGTGCGTGCCCAAGATCCCGAGAGGAGAATGGAGGAGAAGGGATTGCAGTGTGGCCATCCCCCCTGGAGGGTGATTGCTTGCTTTCTCTCTTTCTGTCTGTCTGGCGAGTGCATGCGCCCTATAGCAAAAAAACCTCTCCCCCCAAAAAAAAATTGACTATCATGGAAAACAGTAAAACTGTAGCATGACCTGGGGAAGTAAGATTTTTTTTTTTTAAGAATTATTTTATTGGGACTAGCAGTTAGCCTAATGGCTATGTTGCTAAACTCCCATATAGTCGACCACGGTTCGAGTCCCAGAGCTGGTGGCTTAAACTCACACCAGGCACATGTGCGTACATGCCCAAGATCCTGAGAAGAGAATGGAGAAAGGATTGTGGCGTGGCCATCCCCCCTGGGAGGGGGTGATTTCTTACTTTCTCTCTCTCTGTCTCTCTTTGTCTCTCTGGCGATCACACACGCTCTATAGCAAAAACCTCTCAACAAAGAGAATTATTTATTTTATTTATTTTAATTTGACCAGAGAGAGACAGTGAGAGAGATGATAAGTGAGAAAGCCATCTACCAGGTCCAGGACTTGAACTGTAGTCGGCCATGTGGGAGGCTAGCACCCTTAACCACCACACCAACTGCCAGCCCCAGGAAGTAAAAATTCTTATAAAATTC